TGTTCTGATTGAATAGCAACATAAAAAAATGTCATCGCAACATTAATGATAGTGTTTATTACAATAATTTATAATTATATTATATCTTTCTGGAATTATACGCCCCTTTTACTGATCAAAATATTTATTAGAAAATATTTTTATAAAAAACTCATTCTCGACAAAATGAATTAAAACTAAAACAAATAAGATATGAATAATTTTCGATAAGTTTTGTATCTAATCTCTATTATTTCTTATTTTATTTTTTAATATGATAAATTAATTTTAAGTTTTTTAATATTGTTTCAAAAAATAATTAAATATTATTTCATTCGAATATATTTAGTTCGAAATAGTTTGCTAATTAAATTGTCTTGTAATAGTTTTCTTTTAAATTTCATAAATCATGGTAAAATATTATTATAGAAAATAATTAATTTTCATATATATATATAAAATATAAAATATTTTTAAATTACTAATAATACGAAAATTATCGATCATGCACATACATATATATATGTACAAAATTATAACCAAGTGCATGAATAAATTACGTTATATTTTTCCTAAACTTAAATTATTAATTTATATTAATTTTTTTTTATTTTCTCAAATATTTTATTTTTATATCAAATAGTGTTCTTTACCATTTTTCGAATTTTAATCTATATTCTACATATATTCTACATAAATATAAATAATAAAACTTCAGTGAATAATTCAAGGTTAACTATTTATGTTTATTCTATTATATTTATGTTTATTCTATATAATTTTATAGATAAATATAGGAAAATGTATTTATGAAATGTCATGAATTGTATTTGCACACATGATGAAAATAATTTACATGATTTTTACTAGCGAAAAATATTAATTTAATTCATTAATTAAAATAACTATTAATAATTTAAAATAAAATATCACAATAAAATAAATAATCAAGATTGAATATCTATTTTTTTTTAAGATTTTCTAAGATTTTTTATGACTGATTTTATTTTTGATAATTCGCATTGCAATATATATTATTTTATAAACTACTAAAATTATTTATTAATATACTTTGAAATATATTTTGAAATGTATAACTAATAAAAATATTTAAAAATTTATGATTCAAAAACAGATATTATAAAAAAATCAAGTAAAGAAACAATCATTAAATTAAAATGGCAAAAATGCAATTTCATACATACTTTTTGTTATATATGGGCGATAAATTATGGCACAAAACACATCATAGGATTTTTTCTACATTACATTATTTTGTTCAATACTCATACGAAGCTTTCCAAATCACTTTTTCGTTTAAGTGAAAAATTGTTTTAAGCTCGAACAACTTTTCACATTGAACTTTTCTCTTGCAACTTTTAACATTGATCATATTAATTTTTCTTGATTACATTGACAATCGAGATACAATGTGATATTTTGTTTATCGCCAATTTATAGTTGCAACGATTTATTGAACATTATAAAATTAAATGAAATATTCAATGTATATATGTATATTCTCAATTCTATATAAAATATTACATAAGAATACCGGTAGTAGTTTTAATATGTTACAACATTTTTAACTTATCAAAATTGTAAAATATACTTAAAGTGAATTTAATTTAAAAAAGGAAATTGACTTTAAATTCATTACAATATTTAAACTAACGAAAACGGGTGGTTAGGAACAAATTATGATACAGACTGAAACTACTGATCGCTACCATCCGATCCATAACCTGTACTCTTGTTATATGTATATGATTTGTATACATATATATGCATGAATTACCAAATGCATGTTATAAAATATAAGGATAGGATGAATTTTAAAATATATACACGTAAAATGGTATTATTTTTATTGATAGAAACTTTAATATTTTGTTTGTCTATTAATTTATTTTTTATAAAAAAGTATATTAAAACTTGTAAAAATTATACGAATCGATAATAAAAAATATAAAATCACTTATTTTATTTTTGAAAATAAAAGTAATTTAAAAGTAATTTAAACATATTTAATTGTACTACACAAGATTGAATACTGTATATAAAATTGTAGATAGTTTAGATAGTTTTTTATTGGTCAATTTTGTAACATTGAATTGACCAATAAAAAAATTTGTCAAAGCTTACACGAATTATTATAGTATTTTTCATGAAACGAATTGCAAAATCACGTGATCAAGATTTAGAGAATTTAGAAAAGATAATTTAATTTCATAAATAATAAAATTTTAAGATATATATTATATTTATATTAACTAATTTTAAATTTGATATTTTATTAAAAAAAATTTCAATCTTTTTCCTTAAGATTATTTAAATTTTTTATGTAAATACAAGTTATTTATAACTTTCTTGAAAGCTTATTTTTTAAGCCAAATAATGTCAAGTTTGCAATGCGCAAAAGAAAGAAGTGGATATCCACCTTTAAAGGTATGATCATTAATATTAATAATTACAATTTAATATAATATATATATTACTTATGATTTTATAACCTTTAAAAATATGAGTAATGAAAATAAATATAAGCAATTTTGTTGTGATTGTAATAAATATAGATAAAAAATGGATCACGAAGAAGAATTTCTTAATAGTTTCTTCGCTCAAGTTGCTCAATTGTGTACTGATAAAGCTAAAGAATTAGTTGTAAGTTATATTCATAAATTATATATTATATTTATTTTATTATATATTTTTATTTTTTAAAAAATAATTTTAAACATTTTAAAAAAATCTTTAATAATTAGTTAAAAAATGAACGATTAATAAAATTATTGATAAGTAATTTTGAATTTTCTCAGAATCTTTGAAAAAGGTTATTAAAAGAATATTGAAAAAATTTTAAATGGTTAAAATGGATTTGATATTATAACAAAAAATAAAATGATACAAGTTAATAATAAATTTAATTTAATGTTTTTAATTATTAATATTTAGGAAAAAGAACGTGGATTATGTCGTCAAACACAAATGGGTCCATGGGGAATGTTACTTATGCATTTACCACAAATAGCTGTAGCAGAACATTCATATGCAGATTTAGGTTTCCTTCATACCAAAAATAAAGGATTTTTAAGGAAAGATGTAAGAAAATAATAAAATATAATGAATAAAAAATAAAATTAATATAATGAATTAATAAATAAAATTCATAAATATTTAATATTTATAATTATTTTCTTCCTTTTTTTTTAGAATTCATTAAAAACGGTATATGAATCTTTAAAATCTGATCTAAAAAGAGTAGAGGAAATGACTAGAGGAACCAATTCAATTGGTGCAACAGTTGCTGAGGTTTCTAATCAATTATGTCAATATATTACTGCAAAAATACAATTGATAGATTTGTTAGTATATTGTTGATTGATTATTGTTGAATTTATTATTAAATATTTCATAATATTATTATATTACAGTTATGAAAAAATGTACAATATGAGTATCAATAGTAAAAGTATGAAATATCAAGAATTATTACAATGTATAGAAGGAATAGTAGAAATTCATTCTTTATCTTGCTCACATTTAGCATTAACTGCTATTAAAACAAGCTTAACGTAAGTACAAATGAAAATGAAATATTAAAAATTAATAATTAAGAATTATAATTATAATTTATTTTTTCTAAAATTAAAACATTTTTTGATTAGTTTAGAATGTGAAATATTAGTACAATTGACAAAAACACAAGTTGAACTTCAACATTGGAGATTTTTATCAACATTAATGGCTCTTTATGGTGCACAGACACGAATGTCAGCTTGGGAAAGAACTTTACAAAGTAAAGAGGTTAGTATATTAAATAAAGAAGATATTATATATAAAGAAGAAATAAATATATTTAAATAATAAATATTATATTTTTAGTCATGGAAATTAGGTTTCAGTGCTTCATTTTTGAAAGCAAATCAACAACCAGCATTATATCAATGGTTAGTGAAACTACGTAGTAGCATATTAGCTAAATACTCTTTATATTTTCATACTACTTTAAGTCAGCAGGCTAGTCCAGGAGAAATGAGAAGTATTATGAGCAAACAAAATGTGGATTATTATCATAAGTAAAATATTTTTAATTATTTTAATTAATAAATCATATATTTTGAGTGAATATTAATAAATATTTTTAGAATACAAAGTTTCCAACGTAAACATGATGTCTTAGCAGTATTAATAATATTTGACTCCAGAGGAGTAGAAGATGCAGGTCCAGGTTATAGACATCCTTGTAGGGAACCAAATACATTTGAACAATTTCCTGTTATTCTTAGTTATCCCAGTGTAAGTATTTATATGAATATAATTGATTATGTAATACATATGTTATATTTAAATTATATATAAATTAATTTAAATATAAATTAAATTATATTATATAAAAATATAAAAAATTGTATTATATTTTAGATATTTGTACAAAAGCCATCAATTCACTTAGATAATATACAGAAACGAATTAAAGAACGACATTCAGAACTTCTTGCCATGGATAAAATTATATATTGTAAAAATGTAAAAGTATGTTAATAGATATTTCTTGATATAAATTTTGTATTTTGATATATACTATTCTTTTTTTAGGATATGTGTATATATGCTATGTATAATACTGATCCTAAAATGACTTTGGTTACTGTATTTGAAAGTGGTAAACAAAAAGATAAAGAAGCTCATATAGCATCATTTATGACAGACTTATGTGTACATATTAGGTGCAATAAAATATATGAATCGTTGAAGTTATCAAAATAAGAAATTAAATAAATATATGTAAAAATGTTAAAATATTGCCAAAGATTAGCGAAAAAGAAATATCAAAAGTTATTTAAATAATAATACATATATGTTATATATTAAAATTTTTATGATTTGATTATCTATTATACTATATTTTTTTCAAAATAAAGTGTTTTTTATTATTTAAGAATTGTTTTTTTAGATAATATTTGAAGAATAATAGAGTTTAATATAATTATACTTTAATTAATAATATTTATTAAGTATAATTATATACAAATTTTTTATTGTTATAAAATAACAAATTTTATAAAGACATAATTGCTCTTTTTAATGCCTTTTCTTTATTTTTCTTGACTTTATTTTTATGTTTATTGCTTTGAGTTGCATCTCTGAAAAGTTGTATTCCTTCTTTTTCTTCAATAATTCGTTGTATATGCATCATTCCATGTAAATTAAATCCAATTATATCCTAGAAGTATTAATTTTTAATTAATAGTGTTTACAAAATTATTTGTGAATAATTTATAAAATACAAATGTTTTTTTACCCTTAGATCAGAAACTTTTTTAATAGTAAGTGTTTTCACAATTTCTAAAATAGGTAAAAGTTCTTGAGTAGCTATAATTGGGCCATGATGAGCTTGTATTAAACATAATGCTAATTTTGCAATTAATTCCGTGTGATAATTTGATTCTAATAATTTAGGAAGCATTTTAAGAATTTCACATGCAGCTGAGTAAGGTAATAATAGTAATGATTCTTCTAAATCGCTAAAATTAATTTATTAGTAAGTTTATATTTATATTATATTTGTGCTAAATACATATATATATACTTTATATATATTTTTTACCTTCCTCTAATTTGTTTAATTATTTCTAATAAATAATCTTCCGTATTTGTACAATTATAAGCTTGCATTTGTAAAGGAATAACAGGTGCTTTATCAATAGTTTTTGACAATTGTTCATTATATTCTTTAGATATACCAAGACATTCTAGTATCAATTCAGCCTGAATATTAAATAAAATTTTATGATTTAAATTAAGCAATTTTTATATAATTTATTGATATTTACCCCTTTTTCACTGGATACTGTTTTTCTTGATGGTAAAGATTGTTGTTTTTGTCCTGGAACAACAGTACTTTCTCCAGTAGCTAATTCATTTTCTTGATGTTCTCTTTCTTCTTCTTCTTCATCTTGAAGAACTAAAGGTTCTAATGTTCGTTCATAAAGTCTAACAACTTTATCAGATCCACAAGAAACAACATATATTCCATTTGGTGAAACAGCACAATTCCATGCTTTACCTGCATGTCCCTAGATAGAATAATTTTATTTATTATTATTACAATTATTGTTTATTCATCTATATAAATTTACAATTAAAAATAATTTATTACTTGTAATGTCACAATTTTTTGAAAGATATCTGCATCCCATTGCTTTACTTTGCCATCTTTTCCACAAGTAAAAATATAATGTGTACCAGGTACAAATAAAAGTCCGGTTATGGAGTCATCATGAGCAAAAATTGATTTATGACAATCTCCAAAATCTAAACCCCAAATTTTTATATTTCGATCTGCAGAACCAGTAGCAATAAGTGTTGAATCACTTGATATATCCATACATAAAACTGGTAATTTATGTCCATAAAGAGAAATAAAAAACTAAAATTGCAAAATTTTTAAATATTATGCAACATATATATATTGTGACTATATATATTTATATATGCAAATATATTTTCACAAAATTACCTTAAATGTATCAAGAAAAAAAATTTTTACAGTAGAGTCAAGTAATGCAACTGCAACAAATCTATTATTAGGACTTATTCTTACACATAATACAGTATCTTCTAATTTTAAAGTTCTTAAGTGCAAAACAGATAAAATTTTTGCTTTTATTTCTCTATCAGGATCTTGAATAAGTTCAAAATTCCAAAATTTTACTGTTTGATCTCCACCACCACTAGCCACTCCTTTCTATAAAAACATGTAAAATAATTATATATGAGAATAAAATTTATATTTTATATTATAGATAGTAAAAAATATTTATATTAAATATATATTACTTTATCAGGTAATAATGTAACACTCCAAAGTTCTTTAGAATGTGCAGATATTTCCTCTAAAATATCACCTGATGCGATATCAATAATTAACATTTTACCATCTTTTAAACCAACAATTAAATGTCTATCCCCAGGTACAAATATTGCTGTTAAAGCATAACTACACTCTACAGTACGTAAACAGGCTAAAGTTGGTCTAAAATTATAGAAATTAATATGAAATTTTTTTTATTGATTTATTATATATTGATTTTATATATATACCTATTCCATAATTTCACAGAATCAGCACTAGCTGTAGCAAAAGCTAAATTATCAGAACTAAAACAAATGGCACGGATTTCTGAGCGGTGACCATGATTTGTTATTGATCTTAAATGTTTTATTTCATCTTTCTCTTTTATGAATAAGGAATATAAATCAATGGAATTATTATTCAATCCTATGGATATCTAAAATAATAAGAAATAAAAATTAAATAAATATCATTTTCAATTTTTCAAAAAAAATAAAAATTGTTTATAACATACTCTCAATTCATCATTTCTACCCATTATTATAGATAATCCTTTAATTTTGGCAGATACTTTGATAGGATGTAAACGAATGATTTCATCTTTTATAGTTGATGTTCCTGAGAAATTTGCTTCTATATCTTTTCCACTTCTATTTAATAGAAATATACATATTATACATAATAAAGAAATATTTAAAATTTAAAAAAACTTTTAATTTTTATAAATATATTAGAAAAATATCTTGACATACTTTTCAGCTTTTTTTCTTTCTTTACGTAATCGTTTAAGAACATTTTCTTTTATTTTAGAATCAGGTAACAATTGAAATAATTCTACAGTATTGTCTAAACCATAACATCCAATAATAGTATAAGTATTATCAACTTCAAGAGACACAACTCTTCCATGTCCACTTCTTAATATACTTCCTATTTTTTCACATCTTNATAATATATAAAATTTTTATTAAATGTTATATAATATTAAATATTAAATATTAAAAATAAATAATATATTAAAAATATATATATTAAATTATTATAATATATATATTAAAAATAAGAAATATATTAAAAATATATTTCAGATATAAATATAAATTAATTAAACATTATACCACATCGCTAATTTCAGTATCATCAGTGAGAGTTAAATTATGTAGATTAACATCAAAATCTGTACTATCACTTTCAATAAAAGATATTTTCCATATACGTAATTCATTGTCATTACAACCAGTTATTAAATATTGATCATTTTTAACTAATACTAAACTCCAAACCTTAAAAAAATAAAATAATGTTATTATTATTATATATTATAATTATATATTAATCATATATTTATTAAATTTATTTACCTCTGTTCTATGACCAACAAGAGTTCTAAAATTATGTTCTGTGTCTAAATCCCAAAATTTTACAAATGTATCTTTACTACAACTAATAATTACATTATGATCTTTCATAAATGCTAAATTAGTTATTACATCTTTATGTCCAATTAATCGACATATTCCAATTTCAGCAACAACATCCCAAAGAATAATATCTGTATCCTAAAAAAAAGTAATTAAAAAATAATTTTATATATTTTATTTTCTCTATCAAATTTGTTTACCTTTGAACCTGAAGCTAGTCTATGTCCTTCTCTATCATATCTCAATGTTGTAATTTCAGATTTATGGCCTACAAATATGCTTATATTTTCACCTATTTTCAAATCAAATATTTTTATAGTACCATCTGCATAACCAACTGCTATATGTTGTTTATTAGGAGATGGAGCTAAATATGTTACATTTACTTTATCACCTGATAATACTCGAACCTAAAAATTAAAATAATATAACCTATTATGACAAAATTGATAAATTAATATTTTACCTTTTCTCCTAAACGTAAATCCCATATAAAAACATGTTCACATGCTCCAACTGCTACAAATCTACCTTCATGGTCTTCTAATTTTACAAAAACAATATTACAATTAGGACTAACAATTATATTTAAATTTCCAGCTGGTACATATCTTAAATATTGTTTTGTTACACCCATTTTTTTTTATTAATTATATTAAATAATAAATATAAATTTTATTTATAAAACTATAATAAAATAGTAAAAAAAATGTTTATTTATTCTTATTTATTCTATAATGTTTATCTCATAATTTTTACATAACAAGAATTTATTTAAAATAATTATTTAATTTTAAAATTATAGTTAGTATAGTTTTAAATTAATACATTTTATAATGTAGGTTACGAATTCATGTGGTCGATGTTTATACTAGAAATTGAATAAAAAAAAGAATTAGCGCCATCTCTTGAATGCTTCTAAAACGATTTTTTGAAATAATGAGTTTGACATTTCGATAACGATGAAAAATTTTTCGAAATCAACGCCATCTCGCGTTTAAACATGGATTCTAACTTGTTATTAGTATAGCAGAATATACAAAAAAATATTTGAAATTACAGATGATAAAACATTATGCGAGAAAGATAAAAAGAATATTTTCCATCATTTTGAAGATTCCATTTGCCGTTTGGAAAATTAATTAATTTTATTCGTTTTCTAATAAAAATTTCGATACTTTTAAGCTTGTATCTTGTAACTAGAGTTTCAGGCAAGTTTCTCATATAAATGTGAAATTCTTTTTCATTAATTATTTATTAACAATTAATGTATTTCATTATCACTTAACTCTAATTTTGTCGAAATGTCGAAAACATATTTCAAAGAATCATACTTTTTAAAAATTGAAGATATTGCTAATCATTTTATTCTAATTTATTCTATCTTTAAAAAAAATTTTTTTAACATTTGAAAGATAGTGCTAAAGATTAATTTTTATCTTATCTCTATTATTCTCCCATTATTTTCTGTCTTTTTTTTTTATCTGTTTTATTTCTAGTACTGATTTATCCCACCTAATTACCTAATTTATCTCTGTTCTTTTTCTACTATTTTCTTTCCTTGTTTAATATTTGATCTTGGCGTGTGATTATAAATGAGATATGAATGTCAATAAAACTTTTCATATATTTTTTATGTTGAAATAATGTTTTAGAATTAATATCAATATATAGATTTAACAAAATTTAAATAATCTAATAAATATTAAAATTTAAGTATTTAAAATTTTTAAATACTTTTTAATTAATAGATATTATTATTATTTTACACGTAAAAAATAAATTAATTATTTTTTTCTTTTTATCATTATTAATTTCATTAAACATATATAAAAATGAAAAAGAAAATTTGAGAAAAGTGTTAATTCAAATAAATAAAATAAACAAAATTATATGATAACATATTATTTATTTTATTCCATATAAAGGAACTGTAAGAAAAATGATATGGTAATATACATTATTACATATATACATTATTACATACATTTTAAGAAATGTATTATTCATTCATATTTAAATGATATATATATACATGTGTATAAATTGTTTAAATCACATTAGAAATTGCTTTTGTAGAACAGTGAACAAAAAGGCACTGTTAAGATGTACAAGATGATTACATAAATGTACAATTTTAATTTTCTACAATTTTAATGTCTTCTTTTTTTTTCTTATTTATATCAAATAATATTAATAACATTATAATAATTTTATTATACTTTGTACATTTTTGAAAGTAGCAAAAAACTTTTAAATACTTTTTAATTATTATAATACAAAATTCAATAATATTAAATATTTCAAATATTTATATTATATATTATTCATTAAATTTTCCTCTATATTAATAAATATATTAAATAACAAGTTTTTTTACATGGCAATTTTTAACAATATATAATAAAATAATCATATTTAATTGTAAAATATATAAATATGAATAAAATTGCACAGTGTAGAAAAATTATTATTCAATATCTGATACATGATAAATATTATGTTAATGCAATGATTATAAAATATTTTGCTATTACAATTCAAGCATAAATATAAATAATATGTACAAATTATTATACACGATTGAAATAGCAAATGTTTTGTTTCATGTATTCTCATGATGAAATGATATATACAATATTAAAAATTTATCATAGAAATTTTTTATTCATTATTTTCTGATTGAGATTTGATGATTTGTTCTCCAATATGAACAGGTTGGACTAACGAATTTTGGAACCACATCATCCAGTTACTCAAGTAATGACCTCCCAATTGATTATCAGGATTCTCCTTTATCTGAACATTGTTTAATTCTTCAAAATTTCGAACAGTTTGGAGTTCAGTGAAATTATTATTCACTGAATGACGTCCATGCATTCTTACCTCCCTTTTTCGAAGAGCATCTTTTACTAACCTTTGTTTACGCTCCTCTTCTGTTTCAATAGCAGATCTAGTAAATCTCATTTCTCTAACTCTTAAAGCATCCCTCTTTAATCTCTCTTTTCTTTCTTCTTGTGTTTCTTTAGCATATTGATTAAGTCTAGCTTCTCTTCTTTTTGCTGATTCTCTATTTAATCTCTCTCTTCTTTGTTCAGGAGTTTCACTAGCATATAATGAAAGTCTTTTCATTCTTCTTCTTTCTGCTTCACGATCTAATCTTTTCCTTCTGTCTTCAGGTGTTTCATTATACATTCTGTACTCTCTTTTTCTTGCAGCTTCTGCATCTAATCTTTTTCTTCTTTGTTCGGGTGTTTCATAATACATTCTCATTTCTCTTCTTTTTGCTGCTTCCTTTGCTAATCTTTGTTGACGTTGTTCTTCAGTTTCTTGCTCATACAATTTTTTTCTTTTTTCTCTCATGCACTCTGCTTTTCTTCTCAACTTCTCTTTATAATCTTGTAAAGAATTTGATCTTATTTTTAATTGTTTTTTAGGTTTCTCAGATTTAGTTTCCTTAATTTTCAAATTATTATCATTTTCTGATGATTGATCCTTGTGTTTTGTCAATAATGTTATCGTATCATTAATATTAGTAGGAACCTCTTGAATTTTGTCTTTAATATTCTTTGAAACTTTCAATCGAATATCAGTTTCATTATTCACATTGCATAACCATTCTGTATTGTAAACTGTATCCTGATCTAGTTCATTTTCCTTTTTTATATTAAGATTTAGTCCTAAAAGATCACTTGATATAGTAACTGTTGAAATATTATAATTGCTTGTTTGTATTTGTTCATTTTGATCAATAAAAATATCACCTATTTGATTTGTTGGTTTTTGTATTTCTATATTTATATTTTCATAATCTAAATTTTGCAAGTATACTGAACTATTTAAAATACCATTTATATTACAACTTTCATTTTGTCGTATAATATTTGATGATGAATTTGAATTGTTTAAATTATTTGTATTTTGTGTACAGTTTTCACTATTTACAATTGATTCTTCATTGTTATTAATTGTATATCCTTTGCTTTCTTTAATTTCAATAGCACAGAAATTTTGAGCTGCATTGATTATTTCAATATCATTGAAATCTGTTTCATGTTCATCATTTTCTTGTTTAATGTAAACAGGAATAAAGTCTATAGAACAATCTCTTATTTGTACACTAGTTTCAATTAATTCCATGACCTTATAGTCAAACAAATAGCATTAGATACTGAAATATTAAAAAATAAAACATATAATAATAATATTTGAAATTATATATATATAATAATATATATATAATAATATATATATAATAATATTTGAAATTAAATCTTTATCAAATAAAAAATAATATATAAAGTTTATGACATTAATTTCAAACAATTATTTAAAAATAATTAAAGATAAAATAAAAAAATAAGATAGTAATAGAAAATTAGAATGAAAATATATAATACATGATTTTTATAAAAATAATTAAAAATTATATTCTTATTGAAGAAAGTTAAAATTAATAAACGAAAGAATGAACTTTACCTACGTATCGTCTGCTTATGACAGCTGATTCAAAAAAGGATACTACAAGTGTTTATAATATGTTCATTTTTGCTGCAAATTGCAGATCTTCAACCGTTATCATTTTTTTGTGTGTCACATATTAATGTAATATAGTTAATAGAATAAATAAATAGCCATAAATTTGAATCTTTCACTTTCCGCAGTATTAATTTGCACGTCGTGCTACTCGCTATTCGTCTATCCACGTCGGTCGACATTAGGTTTATTCGCATTGACTACGCACGCAGCACCTGCGCAAAAAGTAGAAACAATCATTGGTTAATTCTTGTCGTTCCAAAAAAGTAGTTGATGTTTTTTGTACAGATAATATAAATATATTCATCCGAATATAATCATTGAAACAAATTAACCAATCGCTAGAAATAATTCAAAAAAATTATTTTTATATTTGAGCATTTTTGATTGAAAATATAACGAACATAGAATTTTATATTATAATAAATATTTTTAATGTTTTTTTTCAAAAATATTAATGAATTTAAATAAAGTTCTCGAATTAAAATTTGTTTAAAGTAGTATTTTTGATAAAACTAATAATGTGATATATTATTGAAACTGAAAATATATAATATTTTGATAAAATCATTTTAATATTTAATTAAATATTTTTTATTACGTATTCATTTCATGTATTACGAGTATAACAAAGTTAATTTTAGAAATAATATAAAATACAAATATAAATCATATTTTATAAATTTAAATACATTTTGCATTTTTATATTATGTATAAATATGATATGTAAATAAATTAAAATTGAAATTATTTTAATTTTATGGAAGAAAATAATCAAGAATTATCAATAATCAAGATTATTGAAATTGAAAAGATTATCTTATATTAGACAATTAATTGAATTTATTGAAAATATATAATGTATATTTTAATGGTGGTAACACTGAACTAGATGTGAATTTTTTTTTTGATGTGCATATATGTATGACATACTTTGTGCATATGAGAACGAACAGTAAGTTTATATGAAAAACAATAAATACTTACAATATATTGACGCAGTATGAATGTGATCTAATATGTTTAAATATAAGATGTATAATAAAATTGAATTATTTATATATTTATTTTTCGAATATAGATATTTATGCAAAATCTACTAAATCAAGCTTATTAATTTTTTAAAAATTTAGATATATGTATATATGTATATATAATATTAATTTATTAGTTTCGCGTAATAGCGAGATATATGTATGTATATATATTTCCATTGTACATGTATTATATATATATATATATAATACATGTACAATGGAAATTATAAATATTATATTTACATTCAATCAAATAATGATATAAATTACGAAAAAAAGAAGAACAATATTAATCTTAATGAAAAAAATTTATTCTTTTTTTCTTATTTTTCATTAATTTTTTTTTACATTTAAGAATAGAACTTGTAGTCCATTAAAATTTATTTTTTTCTCTTATACATTTTATCTCTAATTTTTTTATATTCATTATTATTTATTTTATATCATATACAATATAATAAACAATCGGATTTTCCAATTCTTTTTAAAAAAAATAGGATGTATCGCAAAATTGGATTCTTTTTCAATACCAGTACTTTTACACATCTATATATTTATTTAAATACGTACATATATTTCAAAGAATTGTTCGTTTACTTATCTAAATATTACCAATTTCAAACGTCCTACCTTCTTCGTATGAAAATATTTCATCGTGAACACATAGCGTCGCTATGGAACGATTCAGGAGTGGATAATGTTTTTTGTTGGCCGCTACGTGCTCTGATAATTAAGACATTTCCATTTAAAGTTGACATCCTGTGACGTGAGGAGATGCATCAGGCGCACGTACGTTTTTGGCAGTCCATGCTTCAGAAAAACCTAATCCTCATGCATTATGTTGATAATTAATGGTGTATGATCGAGGGTTCCATTCTTGGAACGACGAAAGATCATTGTACAAGAAAGGAACGATACGTATGTATCTATCGCGTGAAAGATTTATTAGTTTCGCGTAATAGCGAGAGAACCAATATTCTTTTCATGTATTACTCGAAGAAATAATTAGGCATTTGTATTTTGATACGTTTTTCTTATAACAATAAAAATTGCACTTTTTTTATTTTTTGAATTAAATAATTAATCGAATATAATAAATAAGTAATCGATAAATTTAAATATAAAAAAATTAGTTTAATAATAAAAAATGAAGTTATAATAAAATATATTATAATAATCATAAAAATTATTTTAGTATAAAAGTACTTAATACTAAAAATAAATTTTAGTATTAAAGTATAAAAAATTGGATTTGTAAATACTTTGTAAACAAGAATATTTGTTCTTAATAAATTGATTTCGAAATGTGAATATTTTCTCAATGATTTTTTTTAAACGAAAAAAAAAAAAAGAAAAAATTAGTATTTTTTTTAAAAATGATAAGGTCATTTAACAATAAGTAATTCATAAGAAGAGTAGTAGATAAGAAAATCGTAATTCAATACTAAATTAAATGACATTAAAAAAATTATTTCTCTGTAGGCTATTTCTCGCGGATAATTGCGTTAGATTGTGCGTTACAATCCGCGAACCATAATTTACGAGGGGATCCCCGTCGGTTAACCGAAGCGTGGTTACAGCGCCAAATTCGAATGCAGAACGAGTCACGACGGAATGTTAGCAGGTTCTTTTCGTCTCGGGTTGACAAAATCATTAGGGGACTAAATCCAATAAAGGGACTTGGTCTTCTGCTTGTTCAGAGATCCTCACGTAAGAAAACATTCTCGGTGAAGTGATCGGTTGCATCGTAATCGGTATCAATATATATACAGACAATGTATCAATATAATTTTTAACACACGTATTATCGTATTGTATTTTATAAAAATGTGCGTTATTAATATAATACACATTTCAACAATTTTCTCCTTTTTAAAAATCAAAAAAAGTAAAATTTAGATGCCTGTTGTAATTAAAATAATAATAAAAAGGCAAGAGAATAATAATAAAAATATATAAAAAAAAACTTTTCTCATCAATCCGTTTTAATTAATTATATTTTTAAGCAAAGTACACTATTACATGATGAATGTTGTTCTTTCAAAAATTAGAATTTTCAAATTAAATAAAAAAAATGAAAATATTTGAAATATTAAAATATGGAGATTCGAATTGTTTTCTGCACGATTATCAGTCATGATACGAAACTGATACATCATCGTTGTGCGTAAATCAAATTTAACGCATGTAGTGGTTGATTTTGCTCGCACCGTCCTTCCTCTCTAAATATTCTTTTTGTGATACGCCTCGCTATTAAATTAGCGAGACACTGAAGTCTTAAATAATTTCTTGGCGAGTTTCGTTCGACGCCACGTGTTCGAGGGAACCGGTTCTAATGATACTTATAAAACAAGTGCTCGCAAGTGAAATAAAAGAAATGCTTCTCTAAACGCAATCGACAAATTATTTTCGTTTATCATTCCTTTAATAATTTTGGCTATCAATTTAATCGAATATATATTTTTTTTAATCATCAAAATTCATCACGAATATGAATTTGTTCACAATTTTTCTTATCTTAGAAAACTATACGTACATTATCTTCCTTATTATCTACTATTTTATTACTATTCTTATTTTTTATTCATACGATAGAAAGGAAAAGCAAAGAGGAGAAGCGAGAAGCGATAAAGAAAGAGAGAAAGCGAAGGTTAGAACGGTTAGAGAGAGAGAGAGAGAGAGAGAGAGAGAGAGAGAGAGAGAGAGAGAGAGGAGGATCGAGTCTGGTCTTGAAAAGAAAACTCTGGGTGGAATAACACTCTCTTAACGAATATCGAATCGATCTAGAAACAGGAATCTCACGAGCATCGGTTCTCCTGGCATCGGAATTGGCCTGGAGGCTCTGCTTGATGTATGATCGGCGCAGAAATGGCTGTCGTCGCGGGGCCGCGTCCCAATAAATCTCTTTGCTTTTTCTCCGCGGACGGACTTGTCGTTCGTGTATAAATGTATCGTTTTCATCAATATTTATTATGGGGAGGGAGGGTAGACCAATTGGAGCGAAGTTCTGGTATAGCGGAACGTCGTCGTTGGGACGTTACTACGACCACTTTGGTCTGTCTCCCATCGGCTTTACCTCTCCCTCCGATAATAAAGATATCCATTATACCGGCTTCTTCTTCCTCGGCCAAACATTTCGTTTTGTCGGCCTCCATGCGTCGTCTCTCCTCTCGTTTTCTGTCCTCCTTGCGGATTCTACGCACCCTTTCAGCGCACTCCGATCCACTCCTATGATGAATATATGTATCGTGCAACCTAACCTAACCTGCGCGTACATTGTTAATTGCATGCCTTTACCGTTTCCAATATCATTTGCGTTTTTCTGCATTTTTCGTCTTTTTTGCGTGTCTATTTTTGCGATACTTCGTCCTTGAATATTTTGTAAGTATTTGTTTCCGTTAATTTTTTTTAGAAAACATTTAATTATGTGTTTATGTCGCAAATAATAATATATATATATATATATCTTTGTATAATTTGTATTACCGTACCAGTAATATTTTGTTCAAATGTGAATTTTTTCATAAATTGCTGATTTCTATATCTATATTTGTATAATTTGCCTTTCGAAGATTGAGATCGATCATTTTGTTATCGATCATTTCTTTACGAATTCTAGCATTAATTTTTAATTTATCGTGTTTCATAAATTGAATTTTCGAACAAAGGGGAAAGAAAGTATTGAAAAGGGCGGCAAGAGATCATCCAGTGCGCGTTTCCATTTTTTTTTTTTTTTTACAACAGACAATTCTCCCCTTTCATCCTCTTTCACTACTGACATAATGCCGCTGGCATTAGAAGCGGCATAATAACACACGGCGTTTGTTTGACGCCGAGAAAGGTGATTGCACGATTTAAGAAGAAGGGGCGAGATGCACATCTCTTCTCTTGGTCTCCGTGCTTCTCGGGGTCGATCGCTAAGTCTTCTTCGTCTCTCTTGGTTGTTTCTTTCTTTCTCTCTTTCTTTCTTTTTTTTTTCTTTTCTTTTTACGTACTTCTATCCTCTTCTTCCACAACAGTTTTCTCACCTCGTCACGCGCCTCTGATGCGGTTTCGTGTTTCGTGTATGTGCGAGCGCGCGCGCGCGCGCGTGTGTG